CCGACAGGACGTGGTGCGTGTGTGTTGGGTGAATGTGTGTGCGAGGACAACTGGACAGGCGATAGCTGCGATTGTCCCGTCTCGACAACGACCTGCCAATCACCGGATGGTTCGCTGTGTAGCGGACGAGGCTCATGTGTGTGTGGCCAGTGTGTGTGCGACAATCACAGATACTCCGGAGACTTCTGCGAGAGATGTCCTGCTTGTCAAAGCTCCTGCCAATCAAATTGGTACTTCATTTTGTTTGCTGCGACAAAGCCTGACGAGTGGCTACGTTGCTCGAGCTGACAAGTTTTTGTTGGTGTTGTGTGTCTCTTTCAGGAAGTGTGTGGACTGTCACATGTCTCGCGGTCTCAAACAACGCGAGGCGGGATACTGCAACCACACTTGCGATTCAGACGTTGTTTACAACGGCGATGTGATGTCAGGTAGAGAGCTGTTTTGGCTAATGTTGCTGTTTGACATTCCCATTCCGCTACAGACAAGCGCCGGAAAGCAGTAACTAAGTATTCATTGAAATATTTTCGACAGATTTTAAACATTCCGTGCACACACTGCATCGCCAACTAAAAATTATTTACATGTGAGGAGCACATATTTTTGTCCTCTAGAGGCCGCTGTCCACACATTCTACACTATGTAGTAACGATGACTGTGAATGGGAGTCTTTCTAAAGCAGGTCGAGCGTGTTGAGTGACATGCAAATGAGCATAATGAGGATGTACTATTGGCCGGCTATTTCCTGCCAATCGCTTTAACCACTTTAGTGTCCGGTGGTAGTGTCAGTTGAGGCGTTCGGCGGGTCAGCTCAGTGAATGTGCTTGATTGAATTGTATTTCGTTGTTGTTCGATCAATAATGCGATTGAAACGCCACAATCCTGCCCACTTGTAATGGATTAATTACAATTTGGTCTAACCATCAGTCGGAGGTTTAATGCAATTATGCTACAATGTGTACTTAGGGGAGACGTGCAGTCGACTAATTGTACCTAACTGTGGAATAAATGAACTGCACAATTCTTTTGTCGACATTAATTCGAGGGTCTTTATCTCTCTGTCCAGCAGGGCGGAAGTGGAGTCAGTGCATGTACATGAGTAGCGACAACTGTCGGTATTGGTTTCACACAAATTTTGAGTCTGGACGGAGCCAGCTTCACATTAGCACAAGAGCAGGTATACACACACACACACACACA